GTTAGAAGAATGAATTGGCTTTTCTTTGAGAAGCTGTTAATGTGATACCCTCTGTGTCTTATTTGAGTTGTGAAGGTTGTCCATTTTTTTTAGGCTCCTTCATTTCAACATTAGAGAAGTTTAGATCGATAGGTGCACTAAGTTATACTATACAATCAGTTGGTTGATTGATTTCTGGCCTAGGCATGTTAAAACTCAAAGCATTCAAAGTTAAGATCTCGTAGTGTTTTAGGTACGATACCATGAACTTCTGTGAATTATCAATTGGTTCAAGGTTATGATCTCATCAGGCTGAAGTTACAACACCAGGGCCTTGAGTTTGAGTTATGATTTGAGTCACGTAATCTGGGTATATCTACCTACGCTCTATGCACGAATTCTGGCTTTGAGAGTGAGTTTGTTACCAATTCTTCCACCACAAAATCACATTGACAAATGGAACAATCTGCTAAGATAGTAGCAATGCCCTCATTCTGCCATTCACGTGATTAACACAAAGATTGACTGTCATTTTTATGTAACGTATATTTTCTTTACTGCTTTCTTGCTCTTTAATTGGCAAAAATAGATTGAAAAAAATCTGAAAACCATCCATCACATCAACAAACTAATGACAAATTGGTGTGCAATTTTTTGTTTATATAATAAAACTTACTACAACGGTTTATAACAAACCTCACATATCTCATTTGTCATTTTAAAATTAAATCACTTCTACTGTTGTTTTGGAGTTTTAATTGAATTTATTTTACCTTTCTTTTTTATTTTTTACTGATGATATACATCCAAGTAAAACAATATTAACTTTTACGTATATTATGTCCACAAAATGACAGTTTCAAGATGTCCTTGCTCTTCGATGTTTTTAATTTTTGTCGCTTAGGCGCCCTCGCCCCACTCTATCTGATCTAATTTACGACTTAGAAATTTCCTTAGGGAAAACTAAGGCATTATTTAATGAGACTACAAAAATTATTGTCAAAATGCAAAATATGTTTCAACAAAACCGCCAAATTCCTTTATTTTCTTCTTTTATTTTTTTCTTTCCCTTTCGACCTATAATGATTGGGAGTAGATTGGGAAACCTGGAATATCCAGGTTGTCATGGGTGTTATTTTTGGACTGGATAAAGTCACAGTTCTCTGAAATTCTAATAATTAAAGGGCATGTTGTAGAAGGCGAGATTTCCTACCACCCTCTTCACAATGAGGGCAGCATTACCCAGTATTGATCCTGCCTGGTTTGTTGTGTTGATAGAACGAATCTCTGGAGCCCAAAGTTCCAACCAGATAAGAATAAATCCTGCCAAGACATACCCGACTCACTTTCTCTAGACTAGTTTCTCCACACAATGGGCAATTCTGTTTCACTCCCTAAAATGCTACTACGAGGCATACAACTAATAACCTAGAACACACAGCTACACCAGCCAAATACCAACAACTAACAATGCAGGCCACATAGTTGATTGTACCAGGAGGGTAACACGGGTTGAAATTATTTGTATCAATGTTGTTTGCCATCTATATTCTCATCTTAATTCAACAGACATGGTAATCACAGTGAAACAGTTCTGTTTACGAATTTTATGTACATATAACCACAGTCCTAACATACAAAACAACATATATTGTATTTACCTGAGGCATGCAAATTTGCTAGTGATTTAACAACCTCCACTTGCAGGATCAATTGAGCTTAGAAGGCCATTGCCTCTCAGCTGCATGCAGTGTTCCTCTGCGTCTACTTGAGCACAGATAATCACCACTGACAGACCATTGTAATGTGCTTCTTGCATTATATTAACAGCATTGTCAACAGTCATCCCAGGTATAACCTTCATCAGCACTTGCACGACGTACTCCCTCTTATTGTAGTTGTCATTGTGCAGCAACACGCGATAAGGCGGAGACATTTTCCTTGATTTCCTGAAAATCAACAACCTAATTAAAAAAAATTTCCTTTTGAAAAGCAATAACAGTGCTTGAATATATGATTTTTACCTCTATTATCTTATTCTGTTTCTCATGACAAATTTGAACCACACAGAAAAATGAGCAACAAACAGATTATTTTGTTATAGTCCAAACAAATTAAACCAATGCAGAAACCAACACAAACAACAAACCCACCACCACAAACAGAAAATTCATTAACATAGAACACGACAAAGGCAAAAGAGCCAGACCAAAAGAAAGAAAAAGGGAATGGTGTGTTTTAGGCACCGTCTGGTGGTGCTTTCCTTATAAGCAAAATAACAATTTTGTAAAACTTTTGCTTTCTTGCTTAAAAGCAAACCGCAAAAGTACTGCTGACAAGGATTTTACAAAGATAACATATATCACTTGTATATGCATATATGTCTTATACTATATATGTGATAAAGCTTATGGGAAAAGAGAGAATCCACATAACAGAAGGAAAAAAAGGGAGAAAAATACTTTTGGAAAACAACCTTTTTGCTATTTTGCTTGTTAAAAGTACTTATATTTGCTGCACAAAAAACACTTAAAACGCATTACCAATTGGTACCTTAATTTTTATTATTGTTTACAGCAAAGCAACGGTGCACAGTCACTCAAGTCAGTAATGCAATATCAATAGAAAATAATGAAGGCCACTGTCTAGAAGCAATTGCAATCTACCTGAGATTGATCTGTGATTCAAAAAGAGGCAAATGTAACATGAACTACATGATACACTCTAATCCAGCTGTACCCTAGAGGTTTCGGAAAGAATACCGATTGCATAAATTCTAAACTTCCTAAATCCATCCAGTTTATCACAAAATGCTGTAATCTTGGACAAAAGTTTCAAGTCAATGCACACTAGTGGTTGCATCATGCACAAATCAATTTCCACTAATAAACACCTGGATAAACCAAGTGATGCCCTTCAAATACCCTACATACAAGCCAGATGACTGCCAGTATAGTCATCCACATGCGAAATAGATAAACATGCAGAATATTGAATGTAGGCTGAAATATATCAGCTTGGCCAGCAAAGGGTCACTAAATAGATTGAACTAGCACTGCCACCCATAAGATTTAGTAATCACTTTTAGTGCAGGAGGGGTAATAAATTTATAGAAATACACTAGCTCAATCAACACAGCATTGCAGCCTTTCACCTTTGTTACCTCCAGAACAGGGAACTTTCAGTTCTCTAGGATAACATCCGCACCAGGATCTGCAGCGAAGGCAAAAGCATCTTGCAGCTACAAGCCACAGCATTCAGCTCAAACTCTGGACACCAATCCATGAGGCATGCATGGTAACAAACACATGAAGATAACATCACAAAAGTGGACGCTGGACAAACAGAGCCACTTTGCTTAAATTCGTACATCAGATGATGGCCACGGTTGGTCAACTCCAACTCATTCCCAGTTCAGCACCACATGGAAAGTTATCATATTTACATGTCACGAAGCAGTCTAGAGACATCAAGAATAGATGTAGCATATTTCTGTGAATATTAACTCCAGCTTGATCGTAAAAAGTTTGTTTTGAAGACACATCAGGTACACCTAAACCAAACGAGGAAAAGAAAAAAATAAGCTTAAGTATGCTCAGCTCATCTCAACTTAACAAGCCTATTTCACCAACTAGGGGTTGGTGCATGACTTTTTTGGGTCCAGTGATGATGTGGTAGATTGAACCAAGCTACTTGAGAACGAGTTATGGATAAAGGTTAGCTTGAGATCAACTCAAGAGGTCAACAAGCCAAACCATACTATAAAGCTCATTCAATTATTGTTCATAGCTTGATTTCAAATCGATAAGCTAGCAGCCATCCGATGGTACATAAAAAAACCAAGCTAATCGTAATCGCATCGGTTCGAAACTCACTCAAGATTGAACTCTGAGATAAATGAGTCAATCTTGAGCTTCACTTGAAGCTCGTTGACATTTCCGAGCCAAGCTTAAGCAACCCAGTGCCTGTCTTGACCAGTCTTGTTTACACCACCCCTATATGATGATGAGGATGAGGATATCACGTTAACTGATTGAGAGGCAGAGATAGCATTGACATGGATTTGCTCAAAATATTCATTGCAGATGTCAAAACTCATATGGTAATTAATTGAGAGATAGAGAGGGAGGAAGGAATGGAGAGATTCTGCTACTTGAATTGCCACAATGTTAAAAATTAGGTGCTTTTGTATACTCAAAGGAGGTATTCAAGGACATGGCATACCCAGTCTAAGATATAACATACTCAACTTTCACAATCCGAGGGACTAGGTAAACACTTCCTCCCACATCTTGAGAGGTCAAGAATATAATATGCCCTTTGATGGGAAGTAATGTACAACAAATATCAAGGTACAAAAAGACTACCTCAGAGTCCGAGGGGTTAGGAAGGAGCAAAATACACCTAAGAAAGCTTCTCTTAATACCCTTTTGCTTGTCCTTTTATTCTTCCCATTAGGTAGGCAAGTAGATAACATCTTGGGCAAGGAGCTAGATGTACCCACCTTTGCACATGAATCTTCCATTTGAAGTAATCTTTCTTGAAGTCTTTTCCCATTCTCCTCTCTTGATAAGGACCCACCCTCCCTAGAAGAGTTCGAGGACTTTGAATTTTCCCTTTAGGTGTATCTTGTTCCCTGATCTCCTTACTTGATCCAAGAATCGTGTTCCCTGATATTCTAGCAAGGGCCTCTGCAGCCTTGGTTTGGCAGACATAAAAGCCATTATTCAATGCAAAGACCTTCACTAAATCTTCCTTCCAAGTTCTCTTAGCACAATTCTTCTAAAAATTCAAAGATAATTTTTGATAAGCAAGTACCCAACCAACGCAAATTGCCAAAATGAATGACCCTTACTAGATATGCAACGGCAACATCAAGAATATCATCAATTACTTCCCAACAGTGTAATTTTTCACTGTCTGAGAAAACAGTCTAATTTTTCAAGATCTGAATTTTTTGTGATTTACCAAAATTTCATTAAGAAGCATTTATCAGCAGGGTAATTACCAGATAGAATTGGAGTGGATTGATTTTGTAAGCCCATCTCCTTTTACTTTATAGAATGAAAATTTTCTGTTTTGTACAAAAAAAAATGGTATGGGTTGCTGGTTAGGTCTAGAGGAGAGGCGGGAATCACAGATTGAGCCAAAATTTGGAATAGAAGTAACACCAAGTTGGAGCGGATCAAGTGCAGCCATAGAAGGTTTCCTGAAGGTCATGGACACTCAGACATGTGGTTACCATTGGTTCCAACTGGTTTTCCTCAAGGTCAACCAAATGCACCATCTCTGGACTCACAGGATCCCCAAGTCTCACAGATGGTTAATATTTTCACAGCAACTCCTTGCTCACGTTCCTTGGCTGGCGAGGGGTAAATCATCCCTGTCTTCTCCAACGTTCCTGCCTCCGTGGTTGGAGTTTCTCGCTGTTTCCACCAATACCTGCGTCTCTCCATGGTAATTCCTCTCCGCGCTGGTAGAACTCAACCTGCATAGAGAACATCAAAGCTTGAAGTGCTAAACTCCATGGTTGGGTTTTCCTACCCAAGCTGATCTTGGTTGCACAACAAAGCAACCCAGATCACTTGCAACCAAATAATGATGCAAGTGTTGGTGAATGTCCCAATTCAGCATTGTCCGAAATTCCGTCAAACTCATCGTAAGATTCATCTAAATCTTCAACCCTAAGCTCTTTGGGTGGAGAAATTTGAGATTCAATAAGGAAAGTTTCTTAGGTTTCACCCTTGAAGGTCTCTTCTCAGACCTTGCCTTCTTTCTCATGGTTTGAGAATTGAGATAGCCAACCTGACGGTCTTAGGTGTGTCTGCTATGGTGCTCACATTCTTCATGCTTCCTGTCCTTGAGATAGAGTTTTTTCATTTCGAATCTTGTATGCCCATATCATCTAAAATGACTTTTAAGAGTAAAATAAAATTATTGGTTTTGATGAATCCCAAGTAAGGCTAGACTGTGTAATGAATCCTGGCTAACACCCAAAGGCCCAAACAGTCACTACTATATATATAGGAAACTTCTCCTCAGACAAAACTTAAATGTGCATTCAAAATACTCAGGAAAACTGAGACTCACTAGGCCAATGCATTCTGCATAAAACACTAATCCCCATTTGGCCCAGTGCACACAGCCATATAAATATCTAAGCAGTGCCTAGGTGCCCTCAAAACTGTAACAAAGCTGAAAAACTGGATTGTTGATCTTGAGCATGCTGCAATCCCAACCACTTTGCCTACATGTTGCAAGGTGATCCTAACTTTTGTTTCGATAGAAAACGAAATGCTTGTAATAAAAATTGAAAATAGTACATCATAAAAGGTTGGATAAGAAATCCAACCAAGAAATAAAAAAAAAAAAACAAAGAGAAAAATAATACATAAATAGAATAGAAATCACATGACGCTCTTCATCCCACTCAAATAGCAAAAAAGCATATTTCATTTGAAATCCTTACAAACTAACATTGAGAATGACGCTAAACAATGAACACGGTCCCCTAATCCTTCAATCAACTCACTTTAATCTTTAAAATTCTTGCGGTCCTTTCCTTCCAAATAACTCAAACAGTAGGAAGGATGGCACAATCCCAATGAGTCACCCCTTTATCATGCCTCTCAAGATTTTTCAAATCTTCAACAAAAAAAGGAGGTAGATTATGTAGGAATCACCCAAATCCAACCCAACCTAAACAATTTGTATCACTAGGACAAACTAATAGGGCATTTTAAAACAAATGATCAGGACTTTCATAACCTCCTATTACACATCACACACACAAGTATGAGACCTTCCTTTTTGAAGCATATTAGTCGTGTCAATCTCACAATATGCAACACTCTATGAAAGACTTGCACTTTAATAGGCACTTCAGCTTTCCATATCATCAAAGCTAAGAAAAAGAGAGGACATAAATGTACATCCAACAAAGAAGCAAATGACTTACAAGAGAATGCACGCAAGGCTCAAGAACTCATCTTCCTTTATCAAATGACTCTTGATTCAAAATAGAGCCACTTAAGTAAAGAAATAAATGGCATCAAATCCCTAATGTCTCTATCATCTAAATTCGTATGGAACCCGAAATCCTAAGAGTACGGAAGATCATGAGACTGAAACATAGAAGCCCAGGTTGATCTTGACTTAACAGAAAACTCCCCCAAGAGTGCACAAAATCCTTCCAATAACTTATTTAGAAGGCTAAATTGGGGCATGCCAACCGAAAAAAAAATGTGCCATGTTAAATACTGTCTTCTTCTTCTTCAAAGGCTACTTTTTAAGGTATGGTAGACAGAGTGCGATGCCTAATTTCCTATTGACTAAATAAATAAATGAACTTTAAACAGGAGGCTTCTTTTCAAGTAAGATGGTTGCTAAAATTAGATGCTTAATTTCCACTTGACCATAAAAAACAAGTGAATTTTACTGGTGTCAGGTATTATGTGTAAAATACATTGCTCTCCATCACTCATATACAAGGGGATGTGGGTCATTTAGTTCTGTTTGTTTGAAGCTTCCTAAGTGATCCAACCCACACAGGACTTACTTTGAAGGCAGTGGTTCAATCAACTTCCTACAGAGCTTTGATTTGCAGAAGTTGGGCAAACAAAAAGTAGGATTAAAATATTGGTAATAACGCAGGGAAAGATCCCATCTCCAAGCATGAATAGAATTCAAAAGGTCCATCCAAAATACACTTGTATACATGCAACAAAATACCAAACCAGCCACGAAACTTTGTATCCATACCTCAAGTCAAACTCGCAGTCACGGCCAGGAGTTGTTTTCTCTATGACTGGCTTCTCCAACACCCCGCCACCTTTCCCTGCTCCTATGGCTGATATCGTCATACAGATGCTTCGATTTGCGCACTGTTTATGGAGAGTATAATTATCCCCTGCAGTACATATCATTATCAATTATAAGAATCACAAGCCATGTTAAAACAATCTAGACAAGAAAAGCACACTGTGATACCGTTGGAAGGGAAAAAAGCTAGTATAACTACAGAGAGAACCTAAGAAAAAGAGAGCTATCATTTGTACAAGACTTGGTAAAACAAAATCGTGACACAAAAGGCCTAAATAACAAGGCTTGCGCAACATGTGAATAACTCCAAAATAAATGTAATAGAGATTATATCTTTTTAAATTTCATAAATATGTGGAGAACATTATGACAAACTCAACGAATAGTTCTATGTCATCAAGGAGAGAAAAACTTGCTTCTTCATCACTTTGCAAACAATCCACAAATAACAATTAGAGAGAACCATGGCGAATGGTTTCTGGCCTCTAAATAAGTAACTGCCTATGCTTGATAGAAAGATCGATTATGTTGGTTGCCCAAAAAAAAGTTTGCTAAATAGTACTAGAAAACCTTCAAGTTGTATGCATTATAAGCATGGAATCTACTCCCCAAGGATCATAATTTCTTGGAGTGTTTTTTTGTCAACAAGGGTAATAATCTGCACCATTGCATTGAGATACAAAAATCAATTTCACTTCACCATATTATGTGGTATCCCCAATAGTCGGTTTGGCTTCTTAATTTTACCCAAGCAAGATCATTTTCACCATTTTACTCAAACACAACGCCAATTTTGGGGATTGACTCAAACTATTTTCACAAATGGAGAGACCTACATGGTTTTGATTTATCTAACCTAGTATACACAACCAAGCCAAGCATTGTCGAAGGTTAAAAACTAAATGTAATGTATACAAACCCCATTTTTCTCTGGAATGTTCAATATTCACTCCCCCCCCCCCTCTTTTTTTCTATTTTACTCTAGAAAGCATGGATACGGGTACAGATACAGATACGTGATACAAATACGATATGAATACGACAATACACAAAAGTTAAAAAAATAGGATATGCGTACGGCGAAGATATGTCTATAATAAAATATATTTTATATTTTATTATTATTTAACGACTCAAAAATTATAATTTTCAATAATTTTTCAACAGTGTCAACAAAATTCGAAATTCTACATTGAAAAATGTGTAATATCGTTTCATTATGATATACCCATAAAATAAGTATAACTAATTAGAGGAATCAGAACCACATTTAACTAATTGGTTTGTTCACAAATATTTATTTTTAAGATTATAGTGTTACTAACTCATTGTTTATACTCTTTTAACATATAATAGTAGATAATACTTAAAAAATACTCGTGTCCTTAAAATCATATGAAATTTTATTGATATTTTGTATTGTATTTGAACTCGAAAGGAGAGGCTATAGATTAAAATTTAAAATTATACATTTTGCTCTATTTTTAGAAGTATCCGCAAAGTATTCACATATTTTATTAATTATAGGATACATATGATGCGTATCCGATATGTATCCTCAATTATCCGATGAATATCATATCCGATATAAATACATTGATCAATTGTTTCATAGGCACGAAGAATTTAAAATAAGTTACATATAATGTAAATTGGTTTCGTAATGTGGGCTCGTAACACTTCACATCACTATGGTTAGACTATTNCCGATGAATATCATATCCGATATAAATACATTGATCTTAACAAAGTATCCGTGCTTCTTAAATTTTATTCAATGTATATTACATTTAACCATTCGTAATGTGGGCTCGTAACACTTCACATCACTATGGTTAGACTATTTCATCATCTATAGTGTAGGTGTTCAATGTCAATCTTAGTGCTTCCTTTAAAAGAAAAACATGCCGAACTTAGTTTTGTACCCTTGTACATAATACATATCTTCCTTTTTCACGCAAAATAAGCATATCTATTTCTCTATCTATTCTATATGTACATTAAGTATGCCTTCAAAAGCGAAGAAGAAAAAAGCTAAAAAATAAAAAAAGATTGAGGATATTATTTTCTTTTTATACTAAATCGTAATACTCAATAACTATTGCGCTTTGGTCTGATAGCTTGAAGATTTATTGTATAGATTTAAACTCCAGGGTTAGTTGTTTTGGACCAAAACCATGGAACAAAAATTGTTTTGTTTCGATCAAAAAATATAAAAAAATGTTTCGGTTTTACTTTAATAAGAAACAAAACATACATGCACTTTTTAAGATGAAATGTGTCGGGTGAAACTTCAAGTGTTTATTATATTTTGAGCAAAACTTACAAAACAACCAATAGTTTCTTCGCTTTTGACCGTTTCTAAGAAACTCACATTTTGCATTGAACTTTTCAAGGTGGCAGACCATACCATTGAAAAGCTGACAATAGTCTGCATGTTGCTTCACCAATGATGCATACTACTACACTTTCCAATTGATAAGGGGTTGACTTGTCTTATTATTCTATATGGAATCGACTTTTTTACACCAAAATCTGGCCTCCTAAATTATTGAAAGAAGGTCACCATTTTATCAAACTTTACAGTAAATGAATATGCCAAAACCGATTCCTTCATGATGGTCTATAGGCACTTGCATCTGGACCCCTAACATCGACTTTATTATAACCCAGATGGGCTGCAAAATACAAGATTTGGTGTGTATTCGACAATATACAAATTTAAATAAATTAATAAGCATAAGAAATTTAAGGTTAATTAATTACCATGAATCTAGCTCGGGTAAGTTTCATTGCGCAAGAGGGAGATAAATGGTTGAAAAGACTTGTATGAAGGAAAAGACCAGCTATTGTCAGGTTCAAGATCTAGATTTGATCCTCCCAACTGCAACTCCCAGTTCTTTTTATCCTTAAAAATATGTCAAAGTCATCTTTAAACATAAAAAATTCAAGTCCTTGATATAAGTGTGTGTAAGTGTGCACTGAATGAACTTGACTGGACTATACATTTAGACAAGACCTATTTTTAACAAAAAAGTAAAAGACAAAAAAATGTTGGTACCATATTGAATGTGCATGTGTAATTGATAATCTCTATGTGATATTTACAAAACAAAAGAAAACCCCAATCGAGGTGGAAAAAAATTCCAAATGTTTTCATACGTTTCTATGACATTTCGGAACTATTTATGGAACATTTCTGTTTTCTAACTAGCTAAAACACATCTCCAAAACGAAATTTTGAACCATGACCCAAACCACAGGGAGATAGCGTTGTTGGTTTAGTAAATTTGCCAAAGAATGCGTAAGTTTCTGTGCACATAGGTGAGACAAACTTCGGATTGGACAAATAGATGCTTCAAACCAAAAAACCTCCCAACTCCAATAATTTATCTTTCATTTACACATACTGCACAATCAATTCATGCTGCTGAATCATAATGTCATTATAGCGTCAAGTAAAAAACCACAATATTCAATTCATCACAAAATGGTAGTATTAACACACATATGTGTACACATATATACACGCAATATATATATATATATATATATATATATAGAGAGAGAGAGAGAGAGAGAGAGAGAGAGAGAGAGAGAGAGAGTACCTGAAGGTTTGGGGTGAAGGACGTGATTGGCGTAAAGAGGAACTCGATTGCAAATGGCAGTCACCATGGCTTTCTCTTCTCACCACACACACAGACACTGATTTTGTTCGGTGAAAGAAAATGCAAATATGGCGATGATTATTTTTATTATTTTTTTTTGATAAAATCCCACTACCTTATGATTTAAAAATCAGCACATAACCTCTGTTTCAAAGTGTGATGTTTAGTCTTGGAGTAAAAAATATGTTCAATTGTTCTGGAAGTTATTTGCCGTTGATTTGGACCTAGTTACACATTTTCCTGAGCTTTGAGTGAGGTTTCTAATAGTTGTGGTACCTAAAAAAGAAAATTGAAGATCGGAGGGGTACTTCGAGGGTTAACCCTTCACGATGCTCAAGTTAGTATTTGAGAAATTAAGGTGCAATAATTGAATTAGGCTTAATGTGCTTACCTGAGTCTTACCCCAGAGGTCTTTTTTTATAATATTTTGATAGGTGTTTTAGGGAGAGTGAACTCTATATTCTCTCGATAGTTTGAATTTGATTGATCTCCTTTCGATTGAATGAATGTAAGGTCTCTTAGCTTTCCTTTTATTTTTCTCTGTTACAGATAGATACTTTCCTTAGAGGTGCTCTTCTCTTTTCAACCTTTTTAAATAAGGTGCATTTTTTCTTAAAGCTTGGTTTCCTCAGGATGAAACAAACATCCTTTATTGATAACTCTTCTTATAAGAAAAGTTTACCACAATGCTTATTACAAAATGAAATGAAGAAATCAAAGTAAGAAAGATGAACTACCATCCTTATTTATGTTTTCAAAAAGTCATTCTCACTAATAGTACTTCTTAAGATGTTTGGCATTCCAAGCATGTGTCAGCTTTCTTCTATTCAATGTCTGCAGCTCATAAATTCTAGGCCTTTTCATCTAAGTGACTTGATAGGGCCTTCCCAATTCAGACCCAACTTTTCATGCTTAGGATCCTTGGAGGCTTGGGTTACTGTCTTCAAGACCAGGTCTCCTAGGGCAAACTTGTGGATCTTGACCTTTCTGTTGTAGTAGCTGGATGTTTTAGCCTGGTAAGCTGCCAATTTGATTTGAGATTGCTCCCTTTTTTTCTTCCAGGAGATCAATGTTAGTGCGGAGCTATTTTTCATTTTTCTCTCCATTATAATGCGGGTTAGGATTACTACCTCTGTTCCGTAGGCTAGGCAAAATGGTGTTTCCCCTGTTGGAGTTCTGATCATCGTGCAATACGCGCCACAAGATTTGAGGTAGTTCCCCTACCCATAGCCCCTCGGACTCATTTAGGTGGGTTTTGGTTCCTTACATAAGTGTTCTGATGGTCAGCTCTACTTGGTCATTATCTTGCAGGTGGCCTGGGGAAAAGTAATGATTGTGAACTCCATATTCAGAGCAGAATTCTCTGAATGGAT